GCTGAACCAAACCCATAATTGTCATTGTATTAATACAAGTTTACAAAATGGAAAGACTTTCTAGTTCATCAAAACAAGGAATGGAAAGTTAATGGAACTGCACGGGAAATCACCAGTTCCTTTTGTCATCAAGTTAAAGAGTAATAATTATGAACCAATTACTATAGCTACTTTTAATAATATTTGATGATGTTTATGGTAAAAGAACTAGTTACAAAATGAGAATTTAAACTCTCCTCATTACTTTCCCTTCTGAAGATGGGGCTTAAAATCACAGGGTTTAAAGTAATTAAGGTTGAAACAGGGTTCTGTGTTATTTTTTCTCTTTCTGTTAGGGTATTTAATTATGGTAAATCTTACATATTTTACTGTATGTTTATGGACTTTCTTGATACCACTGACTAAATGGGAAGCATTATAAGTTTAATATTGGTAACTGTTCACCTGCACAAGGTGTGAAATACAATATCCATCTCAAATGATAGTTACTAAAAATGTACTGAAAGCTACCACTTCATTGTCCTATCATTTAATCTTGTGACAGTGTGCAAAAAGGTTTGATGAACTGAAAAGCAGTGGAAGTTCACCTGTTGACAACCAGTATAATCCCCTGATGGCCGCTGGTGGGAGTCCTGTGGAAACTTTAGCTACGTACATCAAATCCTCCTTGCTCGATACACAGGCAGAGTTTCAGGAGCCTGCTATTGGGCAGGATTCCATTACTATAACTGGTATGTTTTTAGTCATTCTGAAATATATTGGCTTTGATTATAATCAGTATGTGTATGCTTTTTTGTCCTGAGTGGTAAGTTCACCCAGGAATAGTACTTGTTCATCTTTGAAAAGAAAGTTAAGTATAAATATAATGCATACATGAAGTCACCTTCAGTTAGTTTAGATTAAGAATCGATGTTTCTTTGGGCATTTTTAATAGCTTGCCTTTCTAAAAGGCATAAATCCTTACAATGAATCCTCTGTTCAGGATTTTTGATGGGGAGAGGAATTACTCTCCTGTTTTGTGTCCCCAGTGTTGTACTATTAAATCTACAGCCGTTCACAGTCACATTAAGCTGTGTTATTAACTAGAAAGTTTTGTGTAGAAAAGCTGCAGAAAGCTGAGAAATTGATCCCTTGAGGTCAGACCCTTCTCTCCCGCCAGGAAGCCCTGTGTTTGCCATACTGCTCGGTGGCAAGATGGCTACAGAGGAGTTGGAGCGTAGTCTAGTTACTTTCTGATGCAAGAGAGTCTTGCAATGACATATAAGGTGTCTTAGTCAATTATGTGTCCCAGTAATAATTTGGCAGAAGAGGACCAGTCCTAATAGTTGTATTTCACAGCACAATTACATAATGTTAACACTTCCTTAAGTACTTCTCCTGTAAGAAGTTGTAATTAACTGTGTGATAGTTATTCTCTGGTTTTCATTGTAGACTGAGATGTTTTCAGCGCCTTGTAAGACTTGGTAAATGTGTTGCATGAGAAATTTGCTTCGGTAATGAGTAAACAATTTCTGTGTAAAAAATTAAGATGACGGTGAAGTGTTTAAACAAAATGTTCTCTGTTATGGTGTCCTTCACAGTGCTGCAGCTTTCTAGTCACTTTTCTCTTTGCAGAAGAAAAACAGCTGTGACTTTCACTGGAGAATGAATAAAATGTTTTTAATAACTCTAATCAAGAGATGATATTTGAAAACTGTGTATGGAGTATCTAGACTGAAAACACTTTGATCAACTTTCAATTATGTACTTGTTACGTGCATGATGTGGAATAAATGCTTCTTGCACCCACTGGTGGCTACTTATAAGATTAGTAGCTTCCCAGTAGGCAGTTAACAAGCTAGCTCTGCTTATAGAACTCTTTAGACAATTAGTGCATGTTTTCTTTTTAACAATGTAATACATGTAATAAGTATTAATGCAGTTAAGTACCCTAATGTTTCCTACTGCCAGATCCTAGCCTGAGATTTTTCTGTTTTCTTTGTGACTTTGGGTAAATAATTTTCCCTGTTGATATGCAATTTGTTGATCTGAAGTTAGGATAATTCATCTTTTTCTCACAGGCTTGAGTGAACTCACCTTCTTAATATTTGTGAGATACTTGCATATTTTAGAAAAGGGGATTTCAGAAGAGCCTATTTGTAAATATTTTTGTTTAATTACTTCCTAGTGGATTTATTGACATCTACTCATTGTTAGGATCAAGAATTTTGGGCCTGTTTGGATTTGTTTGTAGACATGTGTAACAGCAAGAAAAAGCAATCAGACCAAATTCGCTTTGAGGTGGATTCTGGTTTTGGTTGAGTTATAACAGCAGTTTGCCTTATAATTAGCAAGTAATAAATGAGCTTTTAAGTCCCTCTGAATGCATATTATGGCAATAAACAAGCATATAGGATAGCCTTTTATGCAAAGTATTTATTACTAACTTTGAGAAGTCAAACTATAAGCTTTGGGGAGAAGAAAAAAAAAGATAGGCAGAAATGAATGATGAAGTTCAGACATCCCTGTTAATTTGGCTGTGTTGCATACTCTTGTCAGCATTATTTTCTTTTCTTTAATAAATAACTTCACTGTGTTCAAAATAAACTTCTAATATTTGCAGGCAGAATTCTTCCATATCATTCTTTTCCATGGGCCCTTCCTTTAAAATACTTGCCTTACGTTGCATTCAAAATGTAGGACTCCCACCTTGGCTGTTTTAATGCTAGCAGGGGTCATCTGGCTGCAGGGGAATGGCTGCCCTGAAGGGGCAAGGTTTTACTAGGGTCTGTCTAGTAAATCTTCCCCTTTTATTAATGGTGTTCTCTGTAAGCCTTACTAAGGCTTAACTGTGCAAGTCCTTAGGCTATATCTTTGGAGGAAGTTTTGTTTCTTCTGCCTCTGGCGTGATAACTTTGCTTTCCTAAAGGACGTAGCTGCTGTGTTCTGAACTGTATAGAGCTTCCAGATCACTTTTGGTGTCAGTCTGCTATAGTTATTCAGCCATAAGGTGAAGAGGTCTATCGTAGTCTACTTCAGAAGAGTACAGCCTCTTACATTACACAAGAGGGAGAAGATCCTTCTGGAACTCTCTTCCTAGAAATCTGAGAGTAGGGAGTAATCGTGGAAAATCATGAACTTGTGGGTTTTCATCAGTGGAAGACAGATATGTGCACTTCCATTATTTAAAAAAGATAATTATCTTTCTGACTTGTAAGCAAGATTATTGACATTTCAGATTGCAGTGATCCATTCACTACAGTCAGAAGAGTTATTCAGTGTCTGAATGCTGGGGTTGTCTTAACCCTTGACCCAGACCTCACTGGATTCGGTGACTAGACCTCCTGGACTTCGCTGGGTTTTGTGTCCAGGTTCCACTGCTTGTGGCGCATTTGTGAAGATAACCTATTTGAACTAAAGTGCAGCTGACCTCTTTTCTGGATTAAGTTACATGATGTAGCTCGAGGACTAGAAAAATTTCATGGTCTGCTTTCTTTGAGCATTGTTTTGTATAACCTGCTGCTTTAAGCCATGTGTTTGAGAAACTTAAGAAAAATGCATCATAAGAGACTTCTGCGCTTCTGTTTAGAGGCAACTTATTTCCAAAGCTAACACATTCTGCATAAGAAGCAGTTAGTCTCAAGTTGTTATATCCTGGCAGCAAAACTTCCTGAAAACAGAATGTGATAGGAGTCTCAAGACCCACATCCCACAACGCAGACAAGGAGATCTGAAGGAATGGATTGCATTACCAGAAGGAAATGCTGAAGACTCTACGTGAATCTTACTGCCTTATATTGAGACAGGACCCGCCTGCCTGGCTTTGCAGCCGAGTGTCTGGGCAACCCAGCAATGCTGCTGGTCTGAGTTTCCAGTGCATGGCATTCGGAGCAGGAATTTGGATTATCTAGTAGCCCTTATGGTCGCAGATTTGTTGCTAGTTGTGTAACATTGCTCCACCGTGAGAGCTGTACTTCAGTTGTGTTTCCAAGATGCTGAAGAGCAAAAGGTCAGGCATTGTGTTCTAATGCAGCCTTTTTTTCCTTACATTTAAGGGAGGCCCAGCACAACCTCCACAAGGAATTGTTCTTCAGAATCTGAGAAAGGTCCTGTACATAAAGGTGGAGAAAGCACTGACGAAAGCCAGGGGTAAGATGATCTTTGTGTGTTTGTTATCTAGGGGATTATAGAACAGAGAGAAAGACGTCTAAATTGCTCATACCTTTCTACTGTCAGAAAGAAAACAGCTGGGAACATCCTAATAAATGCTGTAAGAAATTTTGAAACCTTACATTGCTACAGAAATACTAGGGGTTGGTTTGAGAAGTTCTTATGTGCAGTAGGGATAGCTTGTTCCTAAATCTGTCCGTAGTGTTGGTCTGAGTGATAGATCACTGCTGTGGTGGGAATGGAAACATAACCAGATTTTAAAAAGGAATGAAACAGGATTGATGCTCAATAACAATTTAATACCACTCCCCCCACCCCCACCCCCCAAAAACCAAAAAGTTCTGTGAACATAGATTTATTCTATGTTGTCATGGTTTAGCCCCAGCCGGCAACTAAGCACCACGCAGCCGCTCGCTCGCTCCCCCTTCCCCCAGTGGGACAGGGGAGAGAATTGGGAAAAAACTGATGGGTTGAGATAAAAACAGTTTAATAGGACAGCAAGAGAGAAGGAAACAACAATGATGATAACAATAGTAATACCGACAAAGAAATGTACAAGAACAAGTGATGCCCAGTGCAGCGATTGCTCACCACCTGGTGACTGATAGCCCATCTCCGAGCAGCGATTCCTGCCCCCCGGCCAACTCCAGTTTATGTACTGGGCATGATGTTGTATGGTGGGGAATATCCCTTTGGCCAGCTTGAGTCAGCTGTCCTGGCCATGTCCCCTCCCAGCTCCCCGTGCACCCCCAGCCTCCTTGCCAGCAGGCCAGCACGAGAAGCTGGACTGTCCTTGACTACTTAGCAACAGCTCAAAACATCAGCACGTTATCAACATTTTCTCATCCCAAATCCAAAACACAGCCTCATGCTGGCTTCTGTGAAGAAAACCAGCTCTATCCTGGCTGAAACCAGGACATATGTAAAAGTGGGAAAAGACAGCCGTAAATGAAAAGTGCAAATGAAGGACTTTACTATGAACTCAAATAGCCATGCACATCATTATTTTTCGTACTATCGCATCCCTGTTTTCCATACTATACAAGTACATGTAGAATAATGTGTTTATTTGAAAATGAATGGTAATCATCTTTCTGTAGAGACAGCGTTTACTGATTCTAGCTTTGACCTTTTCTTAAGAAATAGATGTTTGTAATATACAATAAAGCAATTTTAATTTCCACAGAGGAAAATTGCTATTGTATGCTGTTTTTGTCAGTGTCCGTAGGTCTTTTTTTTCAAGAAAATTAAAAAGGGAAACCAAATAAATTCTCTGTGTAATTCAGGTAGTATCCCATAACAAACTGGTGACAAAATTGGGGACTGGAGCTAGAAACTTTCTTTCTCTGGTCCCTTAACTTAACAATTAAATTGCACTGATGATGTGTCAGAGGATATTCATCGGTGTTCATCACCCGGCAATGCTATCTGACAATAGTTTCTATTAATAGTTTGTATTAGTAGTTAATAACTGCCATTTGTTTTCCTTCTGTTAATAAAAACCTGTTAGTGACATCAGTGTTGCAATGTGTGATCCACATTTGGAGATGAGATCTTTGTTGATTGGGTTTGGTGTTCTAATTGGCTTACGGTCCTAATTTGGTGTTCGGCTTTTTTTTTTTTGAGGCCAAATATGGTGATCCATGTGTGCGATGAAGCTAAAAACCTCAAAGAAGATTTTGTGTGTCCTCGAGACCTTTTGATTTCAGAAATGAAATACTTTGCTGAATATCTGTCAGTGGATGCCCAGCGCTGGGAAGAGGTGGACATTTCAGTGCACTGTGACGTTCATATCTTTGACTGGTTGATAAGATACGTTAAAAGGAACACTAAAGATTCTGAAGCTAATGAAATGCCCACTTTAGGTAAAAGAAAGCGTGTAGGTCATTTTGTTGCAGGTGTATTACGTTCTGTAATAATGGAAGATTAACATTTTTGATATAGTTTGGCCCCAGTCTCTTTGTTTCTGACTGTTGCGCTGAAGCTTGTCATTTGTTAGAAAACGGTTGCAATGGAGATCCTCTGGTCAATATAGCAGATGTCTCCGATTTATCAACACTGACAGTTTTGAGGAAACATCCTGATAGTTGAAGCAGTGGAAAAGGTCTAATATATTTTTGGGATCTGATGTTTTTAATGAAGATTCTTCAGACCTCTTCTGAACAAGAACAGAGTGGTAGTTTTTGAAATACTGATGATTGAGTTTTGTTTTGCTTTGTTTTTCCCTCTGCTCCCCAATGGTACAATTGCAATATTTTCTAAAATTTCAGTGCAGTCTGATACAATGGTAGAAGAACGTTTGGCTTTATGAATTTGAGGCAAGTTTTAAATCTTTTTATGAGCCTTTGCTACCATTTATTTATTTAATATAAACAAACCCAGAGAACAGAGTTATAACTTACAATGCAAAGGTTATGTTAAGCAAAAATATGATGGCTACAGATGGAAGTTAATCTTGTTGTGTAATTGTTTAGTCATTGTATCCCTACGAAGCCATCTTTTCCATTTTTTATAAATTGCAGTTTGTTACAGTTGTACTCTGGCAACTTAAATGATAAACCAAAACTTTGTTTCTTAATATGGAAAATGTTCTACATATTCGAAGATGGAATGGCAGGTTGATTGGTAAAATAGTACTTAAAACATACTAAATATGCAGAGGGAGGGATGTGATATGAAATTATCAAAAGAAATCATGTAAAAAAAAAAAAAAACAACCCTTTTTTTTTTTGCCTTTTAGAACCATCAAATGTCATATCAATTCTTATTTCTTCTGAGTTTTTGAAAATGGATTCGTTGGTAAGTATTAAGAAAGAAGAGTTCTCTGCTGTAAGGACACAGTTACTTACCAGTGTCTAACAGCTGCTTTGTTATGCTTTGGCTGTTAAACAAACAGATGATACAATGAGAACATTTTGAGATTTTTACCACCTTTCTTATTCAATGCAGTAACCTAATATTTGCAGAATCTCAATGCAAGAAAACAAGAGTAAGTTATTTCTAAATGTGATAGTGGGATCTTGGATTTGCCTTCTGATGACTGACCTAGAGTAACATTGGTATCTGACTTCTGGTAGGATTTATTAAAAAAGATTATTAAATCAATTAATACTTTTGTTTTATATCCTTTTATATCCTTTTTATATGAATGGCAATTCTGCAATTTAGGATCTGGTTCTCCAGCTCTGTATAAGTAATATCTACTGACTTGTTTGTTAAAATGTTTGTCGAAAGTTCTGTCATTGAGGTGACCCACAATTAAATACACAGAAGACATAGCTGTTTAAGTTGAGATCCAGGCAATACTATGTGTAATGTGTACTGTGGTTCCCTTTTTACAAGCCATTGGAGAGTGCCACTTGCTGAAGATGAAACATACGTCGAGGTTTTTTTTGGTTTGTAGAAACCTTTTGGCGGAGAACATAAACTAACTCAGAGTCATGTTAATTCAGAGTCTCCTTTACATAAATGTAAAAAACAAGTCTCAGATCTAAGTTGAACTGAAATATTTTCCAAAACATCAGATACTTAAAAAAAAATCTTGAAGCAATGAGTACATCTTTTGAGATAGCTTTGTCTAGAATTCTTTAACATAATTTTTAACATTTCTATTTTTCCTAGGTAGAAGAATGTATTCATTATTGTCACAAAAATATGAATGCTATTGTAGCCACGCCTTGTAACATGAATTGTATCAATGCTAATCTTGTCACACACATTGCTGATCTCTTCACGCACAATGAAGTGGAAGAGTTGAAGGACAAAAGGGACAAATTTAAGAGGTAACTTTTTGCCCTGGAATACGCTACTGAAGTGCTGTTGGGCTTTTGGATCACTTCTCAATACAGCTAAGGCACTAGAGGTTTGAAGTGATATATGTGCAATTTATATTCTCATATAATGTATCTTTAACACAGAATATCATGAAGTGACTTCAGAATTTTATATTAAAATGATAAGCAAAAGGAAAGAGCTTTTTATAGGAAACAAGCAACAGGAAAGGCTGCACTAGGAGTGTGGCATGGACAAATTGTTCATGAATTCTCACACAGGAGCCAGGATTAGGGTAAGGAACCTTTTATGGGATGACGTGCACCTAATTCGTAGAGAATGGTTTGGCTTCAGCATCCTGTGAACTCTGATGTTTGGACATAGAATTTAGGGTGTCTGGAAAGCTGAATAGTTGTGATGGAAAACTATTTCATACGTAAGGACTCCAACTTAGTCTGTATCAAGATAAGGGCCAATTATTGGAGGGTAGACTGACAGACAAGCAAGGTGAAAGTAAGAAAGGATTTTTAATAGTAGGGATGAAGACTTTATAACTTTTAGAATTAAGATAAGTGTAATTTCATGGAAGTATTCATTAATAAAAGGCCTTCTAGTCAAGGCAGAAGCTGGCAGTTTACATGGGCAAACGAAGGAAGAGGAAAAAAAATAAGGGATCTCTTTCCTCACATCTGTGTAAAAAATAAGAGATGACTGGGTCCGGAGCCAGTGATCCAAAGAGATTAATTTAAAGGAAAATCACATTAAAAGCTAGATTCTGAAAGAAATATGGTGACTTTGCACATCATCAGAATACCATTGTTAGTCTCACTATACATAAAACAATTTTCAGTTTTTTCTAATGGGTAAGCTGTGTTGCTGTCATTAATAGTAAACTTTTCTGCAAGAAGATTGAGAGACTGTTTGATCCAGAGTACCTAAATCCAGATTCTCGAGGAAATGCAGCAACGTTATACAGGTATGGTCTTTTTATATTACTACTACAGTTGTAAGGACAAGTCCCTGTGTTTCGAAGTCCTGCTCTTACTCTCATACTTTTTTTCTTTCCTTCTCTTTTTTTTACATCTAGATGTTGTTTATGTAAAAAGCTGCTAACTAAAGAAACAGAGAGAATAATTCCTTGTGTACCAGGAAAAATCAACATAGATCAACATGGGAATATTGTCTATGTTCATATAAGGTAGTGAATACATATATTTAAAAACTATTTCTTCAACTATATGATCTTGGGTGATTTTTAAAAATTCTGCATGTTTAGGAATTGGTAGATACTCACATGACAAAATGAAGTCATAGATATGTGAAGAGCAGTATGAAACACCTCAACTTCTTATATTATACCTAGCAAAAAAAATAAAAGGGCCATTATGATGTTGTACTTTTGAAATTCTTTCAGAAGTGCTGCTGCTGAATGGAAATGGAAAAACTACATGGGAGGGCTATGTTGGGTTGTACTGCCTTAAATAGAAAATACTCAGCTAATTCTTTCATCAAAGGGTTTTAAGATATGTGTAGTTGATGACAAATTAAATTAGAGGCTGCATTTCTACAAGGTTTGATATTGAATGATAGATCCACCTCTGCAAGCATAGAAATGCTAAAGAGTATTTTCTAGACTGACTTTATACTGTCAAATCAAATATTCAGCCTGCTTAAAGAGTACTATAAATAAACTTTGCCGGTTGTTTTTCTGTTCTAAAGTATTTGTCAGAGAAGCTTCCAGGACTTACTCTGTATGTAGGCCTTATTAATTTGGCACAAATGTTTAATTCAGTTCTGACTGATCCATGTTAGTGAACAGCTGGGTTGTCGTCTTAACGAAGATCAGTGCATGATCAGCTGCAGTTCCTTCCCTCCCTACATGCACCCTTTAAGAAAGATAGTGGGAAGTTAGTAACAGGAGACCTTTGTCATCAGATCTATTTTGTTCAGAACAACCAAAACACAGTTCGGTCTCAACTCCCAAGCTAACATGTTTTTAGTGTTACCTCCCACCAGTAATTCAGAGTTCTGGATTAAGTTCTGCCTCACAGTCTAAATAGAACTGAATATTGTGACCCCATCCTGACCTATTAGGGTCATTGGTGATTAGCCATGTAAAATTCATTAATTGTATTACTTCACTTAATCTGACTGTATTTAGCTGCCATGCAATTCCTAGCATTTAAATGTGCAGGGTTTTAAAGTTACTCAAGGGATTATTTAGGTTCTAATTCTTTGCCTTGTGGTACTTGTGACTGCTTTTCTACACAGAATCCATTTACTCATTCCTTAGGCAAAGTCATGCTGGCCACTAATGAATTCAGGCTTACGAGCTGACACAAGCCTATCTTTAATGACTTGAATATAAGTCTATATTTATTGGTCCTCTACTGGTGCCTAGAACAAAGTTCCTCTTGGAAGCACTGCTTGCTTAGTTTAGATTAGACATACACAGAATAAAAACCGATTCAGGCCAGGGCTTAAAATTGTGAGAAAACAGTATCTGCTCTTTCTGAAAATAACATGTACCAGTGCAGGTTGTGTATTCTCTTGATTTCTGAAGAAGCATGTGTCATTTTATCACTAGGAAGGAGCAAAGGCTATATTTTTAAGACCAGAAGTCTCAGATATATTTATCAATACGACATGGTCTTATATTTTCAAACTTTGATTCTTAACTAAGTGATTGCTGTTGCATTGCAGAAATATAGAAACATGTTATGTTGTCTTTAAATAAAATAGAATGGCAATACTGCATTTCTGTTGCACAACATACTACTTTTAAAGACAGAAAACTGCAGTATGACTGAACTTGTTTGCATGTGCAAATTTGCTTTGCCTGTGTACTAGGCTTTCCCCTGTTTTATGGTTCTCCTGATTTCCAACAGGCTTGATACTTATCTTTGCTTATAAATTTGCAGTATATGGAGCTTGAGATGAATCAAGCTGTAATTCTTTGTTATTAGTAAGTTCAGGATGTTGTGAAAGAATATAGGCTCTTCTGTCATGGTCTGAATTTAATAATGATTATCCCACATTGTATCCTTCCTGTTCTAAACTCTTCTGTAGGCCTTTCACCAGTGGAACATGTGGTGTTCTGCTCCTCCTCTACCTCACCTTCCTGGTGGCAGGATCAAAACCAATTTATGACTCTTTATGCAAACCTGATGTTTTGCTTTTTCAGAGACAAAACCTGGGAAGTCCATGAGTACTTAATTGGCCTTCATGAGGAACTGAAATCTTGGCGGGATGTTTATTGGCGTCTTTGGGGGACTGTCAATTGGTTGACCTGCTCAAGATGTAACCAAGTTAGTGTATTTTCATTTTCACTTGTTTGTCTGTAGATGGCTTGTTATGGGTGACTTTTGAGCGGTGAGGCAGGGTTTAAAGCAGTTTGGAAAATACTTGTCAATAAATCCTTTTTGAGACCCATAGGTAATCTCACCTCTCGTTATCTCTCTTTTATTCTAATGTAGTCTTTCCTGTGTACTGAATTCTCCCATTGCCAGTACCATTCGCAGCCAGTTCTTTATCCGGGTGTCGCAAGTGCCCTGGGCTCGACTGGGACAGGAGTATATCCCTGTTGTAACCAAAAAGTACTTCGATTTGATCCTACAACCCTCCCAAAGGTATTTCAATACTAGCTCACTTTTAAAAGAGTATAAAACATGGCAGGGGGGTGACTGTGTTATGAAAATATATCTTCTTCCAAAATAAGGATTGTAAATTGTTGCAGTGTCCCAGGGCAGGCTAGGACCTTGGGACACAACAGTTTAAAATTTCAACTTTTGTTATTGTACTTCCTGAATTCAGTTCTTCCCATTAACTCAAATATTTGATCTTTTGTGTATATGTATCACAGGGCTGTAAAGTGAGGGATCACGTGGTTGACTTACCTTCAGGAAATGAAGATGGGAATGATTTGCCATCTCGGACTACTAAAATATTGAATGATCTGCTCCATCACAGAGATGTTATTGTTGTTCCTTTCACTAAGGATGAGAACAGGTAAGAACATTGTATCGTGTTACTGAAATAACTTAGCGTTCAACACGCCAAATGTAATGTGCACAATGTGTTATTTCTCTCCTGTTTTAAAATGGGTGACAGGCCTTTTTAAAGGTAATTTATTTTTTATTGGTTAGTTGGAAATTGGGAAGAGAAGAACAAGTGCTTTTTATATTTCAAGCAGACATTTAGTCATTCAAACCCCCATAAGCATTCACTCCTATCTTTATATTTTAATGGATTGTTATCAAAATATTATACAGCTGACTTGGGGGTCTGTCTTCTCTTGGTACATGAGAAGTAAAGAGAGACTGATTCTAAAGTTACGAAATAGAAAAATTTATTTTTGTTTCACATCTTTCTCTTTTAAGTGATTCTGGTATTGGGCTCTGTGATGAAAAAGGCATTGAATGTGATGTGCTTGTAGAACCAAATACGCCGTGGGGTCCTAAAACTGGAGAAATCAATGCTGTGAGTGACTGCTAATGTGTTTTCCCCCACTTCCTGATAATGAAGATTCTTACAAGGGAACTTTGAGGAATTCATTAGACAACTTTTAGTAAAAACAAAACCCATATATTCTTGGAGGAAAACGTGCACTGCTGAGCATTGCAGGATTGCAGAGGCACAAAATATCTGGTTGGTGAAAAGGCAAAACTTTTACCATGTCTGCCAGAAATATTTCTGTGTATCAGAGGCAATTCCCCATATATCTGTGCTTTCCACCCCATTCTTAAACTGATGATGCTTAAGGATCCAGTCATATTTTTAAAATACATAACGTGGCAAATATTTAAATAATTGCTGCCTTCGTTTTGTCTGCTGATGTATCTGGGTAGGTCCACATGATTTTTGCAAGCCCATAAATGAATAGTAGTAACTTGGATTGTGTTTTTTTGGTTTTGGTGGTGGTTTTGGTGCTTTCTGTCCCACCAGATAAGGAAGATTTTACTCTCCTGAACTATGGTGCGTGTATATGACTCTGTATGTCAGGTCAACAGAGATACTTTCTAAGCCAAGTCTAAGGAGACCGTTCATAATACTGCCTTTGGTTTAAAGAGACTTCCGTGCAAAGATAAGGTTTTGAAGTTCTGCACCCATCGTGGAACTTCGGGTAACTCAATGATCCTGCTGGTAGCGTGATGCTGCTGATTCTTTGAGAATTTCAAACTGTGTCAGAAGTTGTCCCGCAACAAATGCAGGAGGCTATTAAATTTAAACTCTGTAACAATCTGGTACGTAACTAGCACGCCTGTCCTGGACTGCTTTTTTTTTTTTAATTAAAATCAGCTGTAAGTGTTTGTAGTGCTAAGGTTGGTCAAATTAAAACATGATTATGAATTCACTGCATTAATCAATTAGTAGTTCACAGCTTGTTTGCACACCTAATCATTCCACCAAAATTTCTAGTTAAAGAAGAGAGTAGGCCTTCTAGGAGTTACCAGTGTAGATTGCTGTACTATCACATACCACTCCTATTTTTATAATTCCACTCACATTTTTTCTTATTATTAGTTCTTTAACTTACATGCCTTTCTCTTTTTGTGACTACAGTTTCTTTCTCTGAAGAACTGGACTTTACAGCTGGTTAGTAAAATACTATGTTCATAATTTTAAATACTCACTTTTCTGCACTGGCAGATTTTGATTTTTGTCTTATTTTCTAACTAATTTGAAGGAAAAGGTATTTTCTTACTTTTGCTTTAATTTGGACATTGTGCAGTACAGTAACAATTTTTACAAGAAAGTATGAAGTATGTGTGAAGTACTACTTTGGCTTGAATAAACATTTAAAATTCCTTTTAAATGTTTTTACAAATCACAACAAACAATAGATCCCCACTGCACGCATCAGTTCTTAATAGTTCATTAGGCTGACAGAAATGTAAATTGTCAAGATCAGAGTCTTTGAGTGTCTGTCTCTTTGCTTGTGCGAGATGCTTCATGTCCTCTTTATGCTGCTGCTTCATTGCAAAAAGCCTTTATCAGGGTTGAGGACCCAGTCCAAATGCAGAGGATGGGGAATTTTGCTTCCAGCAGCACAGGATGTCACATGATTTACTTTTTTTTTAAATATAAATGATAGAGCAGCAATTTACGTCTGTCACTCTTGATGGTTTGTGTTGGAATCGGCTGTTCCCAGTGTCCTATAGTAAGACTGTTCCTGTTGCAAACTTTTTGAACTTGCAGTCTGTTTTGGGCTTCATCATTTCTCATGGATTACTAGGCACTCATGATCACTCACTTCAAAAGATATGTGTATGTTCAAAAAAGTAAACATGTTCCTTAATATTTTCATTATCCTGTGCTGATAGTTGGGAACTATTCACTGTGACCCCACCTCTTGCAATGTTGGAGCCAGTGGTTTACTTATGATGTACAAGAAATAGAAGGGAGGGGGAGGAAATTAGATATTAGGGTGAGTTCACAAAAAAAAGCCACCCAGATATTCCAGACCAACTTGTAATAAATTATTAATGCAGTTAGCCCTGGTGTACTGAATCTATGTGTATTTGCACCGCAATATGTGTGCTTTGTGTTATTTAATTAGTGAGTATCTTAGCAATTCCAGGCAGTTTGCAAGATGCAGCAAGCCTCAATAGAACCGTAAGTAAACTTGTAGATTCCTGTATTCTGTCATTATGTGGCTAGCTCAGATATTTGCTATCACAACGTACGTTTTCTCATTAAGTAGAAAAATAATATAGCCAGCAAAACATTGGATACTGAACAGTGAATCATACAGTGATATGTGCTGCAGGGGATCTCTGGTGGTCATCTTACTTCCTCCCACTTTCAAAGCTGGGCCAACTTCCAAGTTAGATTCAACTTCAAAGATGTATCACTTTGCTCACGGTCATATCCAGTCAAATATCTGATGATGGAGATTCTGTGGCTTCTTTGGGCAACCTCCTACAATGTTTGACCACTTGGAAGAAACATAAATAACAATATTTATTGAAACATTCTAAGCAAAGATTTGAAATTACTTTCTCAACATCTAAGAATGATGTTCTTGGACCCAACTGCACACAGATACGTCACTAAGATATGGAGCTAGATTTGAAGACAACTCCTTCAGGACAGGTTTAAAGTATCACTTACTAGGAATTAAGCCTCACTTATAATCTGTGGCACTGTCTTCCTCTTGATTAGAAACAGCAATCACTGTTATCTGAAGAAGAGGAGTATACCACTGGCTCAGAGGTCACTGAGGATGAAGTCGGGGATGAAGAAGAAGTATGCAGGAAACCAGGTACAACAAGTCTGTGCAGTCATCCTCCCTGGAATTTAGAGATAGGGATTCAAGGCAGCAGAATTCTTCTGCATACAAATTGTAAACATTAGGAATTTTTAAAATAAAGAATAATGTTACTTGAATCTTATTTCTAGTTTTTCTGTGTTTACATACAAATTACCCCACTGCTCAGTGCCATCAAAAATCACTGGCAAACACAGAAAGCTGCAACTATTCATGTCTGAGATGTCTTCAAGGTTGGTCAAGGGTATATTTTGCAGGGAAGACTATCAAATTACTTTCATGAAGTTTCTTGAAGATAAATGCTGGAAGAAGAGGCAGTAGCTATATGACAATATTTTTGCATACTGGTGGGTGTTTTTTTTTTTTAGACTATTTTTCTGCTTACATAGTGAAATGACTAGTGAACGTGTCTAGAATTGTGTCTCTATAGAAGATAAGCTCCATGTGATCTGAAAGGAATATGGAAAGCCAAAAAGCTGCCTCTCCTTTCCGCCCTAGTAATGCGCTGTTTGAATGCAGGCAGTTCTTTGTTCTTTTTTTCTTGACTGAAAAGGATTGGAGTGCACCAGTACATTTGAAAAAACAAAACCCACCAAAAAAACAACAAAAACAAACAAACGAAAACCAAACAAAAAAACCCCAAAAATTTTTGTAGTTTGATTTTAAACTTGTTTGGTCTGATGTAGCTCAGAGCTTGTTGATTGAATTAATATGGTCAGAGATGTAGCTTGTATGTGCACTTGCTTTTAATTTTACAACAGAAAACTTGTGCAGTTACATAGAACCACTCTGCATTTTAAATATGTACTTGAGTTCCTGTATGTGTGTAATAGAAAAGCATTTGAGTAATCTGTGTATGTTAACATGCCTTCAACACTAACAGAGGGAAAATAAGGCTTATTTTTCATTTACTCTGTTTGTAAAGGAATAAAGGGGAAAAAATTCTTTTGTAGCTGTGTAGAATTTCTGAATATCTGTCATGGTGTTAGGAAATATTCCTTCAATTAGCAGGGAGAAAGGAGAAATTAAAGAAATCCTACAAGCACCCAAGGAAAGTGGTTTCTTCACCTAGTGTTCAGAAAAAGGAGAAGACATCTGACAAGGTAAAATCAGAGACGTGGCATTCTCTTAAGTTTTGGACTTGATCTTAAAAATATACTTAATGTGCTTTTCTTTCTTTGATAGTCAAGTTCCCAAGATGCATCTCCATTCATGTAAGTAGTTTTCAAAGTCCTTGAGAACACAGTGTAGTATATCCCTTTTTGTAATCTGCTACTGATAACATTGTGTGCATCTTTCTTTTCTAACCAGTGTGAGTATGCAGCAGAACAAATGGGATGCCTCCAGGTCACTAAGATTCAACCAAGATGCTCAAAGAGAAGATGGTCCGTTCTTGCATGAGTTTAGCTTTCATAAAGTTAATATTATGCAAAGAAAATTATACTTTCATATAAGAAATGGCTAATTTCCTAAAATATAGCTACTTAGAAACCTTTAGGTTGAATTTAATCTCACATATAGCAGTGGACTCTGTGTTGTGTTTTTTATAGTTGCTCCTCATTTGGAGGAGAACAGATTTCAGCTAGGCTAGTAGTAATCAGCTGTATTCAAACCACACAGCAATCTTGGACTCTTCCAGACTGCACAAAAATATTCATAAAGCTAGGAACACCTTCTGAAAATGTTACTTTAGGATTTGGTTGGCTTTTATTAGCAATCTCATCTATTCCATAGGAGAAAAAAATGTTTGTGGTAGGAAAATGGAAAGAAAATCCACCATGTAAAACTATACATTGTAGTCTTGCACACAGATTGAAAAATAAATGGGCAGCATCAGGCCTACTGTCTTGGAAAATATCAGAAAGGAGTTCACAGTTTGCAGGAGAAGAAGGAAAAATGCACTATAAGTGTATGTTAGCATGGTTTATGTTCTTTATTTGGAATGACAACATAAAACCTACAGAGATTATAGTTGTGTCATCTGATGACCATATAAGTATGCAAATAATTTTTCCTGCATCCCTGTGCCTTTTGTTGTCTGTGCAGATAAACTTCCACGTCTATCTCTTTCACAGTCTTTTTGACTAAAGCTATTCAGAATTGTATTTCTTTGTTCCACCTTTTGTCCTCTCCTGATATTCTTGTGCATTTTTGCTGTTTTGAAAAGCTCTGCCTCAAAACGGTTCCTGTAGATTTTGATCTCAGTGTAATGCCTCAGGCTGATTCTGGTATCTGCCAAGAGCACTGCTGAAGCTACATTATGCATCAGGATCTAGGATCTTGGTTGTTAGAGATTTTTATGAGAGCTGAAAAGAAAGCTAATTTTATAAATAGACTATCACTAAAGTGTGCGTCTAATTCTTCTCTCTTTGTATTCAGTAGCAAGGAAAACTTCTGTTGTAAATATCTTTTTTCTTATTTCTGACAGATCAGAGAAGAATGTCTGAGATTACAGGGCACTTAATAAAAATGAGACTGGGAGACCTTGATCGAGTCAAGTCAAAAGACAGCAAAGAAGTAAGATTTGTCCTGTCTCAGTGTAGTGTTCACAGAATTCAAGTGAGGCTTGGTAACAAAAACATGTAACACAAGTGAAAATACCATCTATTCAATACTTAAGCTAAAGAACTGAATCTTACCAATCTTCAGTTTGTTCCAAGCATGATTTTTTGGGAAGACAGTTTAAAAAAATATTTGAAGTTCACTGCCTTTAAAATCGAACATGGAAAATAGGATGGGTTTAAAAAGTTTCAGTACTGGGTTGTGATAATGAAACAAAGTATGCCGTAGATTCTGCTGAATGTTGGGGATTTTTATGAAAAGTCACTGATTAAATTGGAATAATGTCAAATTTTTTTTTTTATTCTGGATTCTAGTATGCAGGAGGCATTTATGCTAGACTTGAAGCTCAGATAAAGGCCTCAGCGCAGGTCAGTGCACGACAAAACAATGCTGAGAAGAATACTAGGTAAGATTTTAAAATAGAAGGAAAAAGCAGAACATAGATTTCAGGTGGGGGTGGTGGGTGTTTAAAGAAAAACGAGCCTCATTTCGTACGCTTTTTTGAATCAGCATCCCTTCCAGTAGGTTAACCGTATGTGGTGTGAAAGCTTCCTTTGTCAAATTAAACTAGAGCTAAGAGAATGAAACTCCATGCTGGAAGAACTGCTTTATAGCTTCTATGTTGGAAGGTTGACTGCTGCTCCAGTATGATTTATTGTGAAATACGGATAGCTGGAAGACTATTAGCCAAGATTCTTTAACCTATTCTTTGGTCTCCTTCCAAAAACAAAACTACGACCACCACCCCCCAAAAAACCCAAAACCAACCAAACAAAGCCCCCAACAACACCAGACAACCCTACATTACTGCATATTGGTCTTCCACATATTAAATGGATAAAATGAAAACAAACTGAGAAGCTGGCACTCTGTGTGCAGCTGTAGAGCCTGGAACTGGTCATAATTTGGCCAGCAGGTGAGCCTCTTGAGCTGGAGCTTATAGTGGAGTTCCTGACCAGCTTTCAAGGGATGGGCTGGAAACTTCAAATACATTGTCAGAGGAATTTCTCACAGGTCTTTTTTTCTCTTAAAAAAATGCATATGACTTTCTGTAGAATTAATGATTTCAAAAGAAGATATTTGACAACACAGTTCTATCAGCTGTGTACCTTTGTATGAATATGTCGTTCGTGGGTACAGGTATCCTGGCAGAAAGGCAGCTTTCTCAATAGATTTTGAGAGCGATTTCCTACCCCCCTCCCCCCCGCCTTCTTCTCTCTTTAATGTGAAAATAATTTCAAATGAATATTATACCACAGAGCTGACTGGACAATAATTTAAAATTCCAGCAGTAATAATGTACATATGTTTCTTATGTGTTCTTAACCCAGGTCAAAATCCCGTTTTGGTCAAGGCCGTCCAACATAAGGACTCGTGAAAAAACTTTAGCCAGAATACGTTACTGCTTCCTGAAACTGTACTGCACTCTGTCGTACGGAGAATGCACACCTCTGAAAGCTTTCCAGTGACTTATTTATTACTTTAAGCCTTGTAAATTATTTTGTGCGATAAATGAATGCAAATCCAATAAGGTCTGTACTTATTTTAACTGTAAATATACCGTTTCTTAAATTTAAATTTCTTTTTTAGGCTATTGTGTTAAGTTGCATAGAAAATATTTTATAAATCTACAAGGTTAAATTATTAGACTATTTATGGAGGAAAACATAAGTATGCCTTTTAGTATGCTAGAAATACTGAAAAGGAAAAAGCAAGACTACTGAATTCTGAGTCCAGTCAGCAGCATTAACACAAGTCGCCTAGGGTATTTATATCATGTAGTATTTGAGGGTACGTTTTAGGTCCTCTGGGGATTTGCATTTAAAGTCCATGACAATACCTGTGACTTAAGCTAGTTTACGCAAAATTTTAATGCAATTCTGAGGCTTCCTTCTGTATATCACACAGCTCCCATTCGTGTGAAGGTGGGTAGCAGGTAGAGACTAGACCTCCAAAGGTTATATGAATGCCATGATGATGCAGTATTGCATCTTGCACGTTAAACACTTGCTTTACTTGTATGTGAAATTAATTCTCATTCCTGTTCCATATCTGATTCGTCTTGCATAATACGGTGTTTTGTTCCCTCCTAATATCCAGCCTCTAGAACGCAAAGTAGCTCTATTTCTTAATGATGCTATGCCACTAAATTTCTGAGTAGAGATGCTATTAATTCTGCATCTTTCAACTGAGATGAAGCATTATAAAGATGTGTGCATGTAGACCTTTTGGATCTAGTTACTGTCTGAAACCTGCCTGAATAATACTGTTTAGAAGTCAGATGCACTTTCAAGTTCTGTATTTGGAGCAATAGAATACAAGTTTGTCTACATGTATAATCCAGGGCTACCAAAATGAAATAACTTTCCTAGAAAATAAGTTGCATATTAGCAAAGAAAATGGCAATAATGGCAATAATAATGGCTGAATTCAAGTAAACACATTCTGACTTTTTGAAACAGGTAGAAAGAGCGCTCAGGGAAAGCTTATTCCAGGCCACGGCTGTACAATAAATTGTGAGTTTGGAATTAAGTCAGCAAGATCCCGGTGGTAGGGTGGGGTTGAGGTAAGGAGAGGGAGATCATTGTTTAAATGCACACTGCTCTCCAGTAAGGCTTTTTTTTTTTTCCTGTTTGTCTTGTTTCCTGAGAATTTTTCAGTAGGTGTTGGAAGACTAGGATAGCAATACTTGAAAATACTGCTTTCAAGGCGGAAGATTTTTATCGGAACAATAAAAAATCGGTGTTATTTGTTGTGTGTTTTGTCCAACGCTATAGCAAATTCAGAGCCCAGTGAAACCAACAGGCAGAACTCTGGATTTCAGTGGCTTTGATTTCGGGCAGGAGTGCTAATTTTGCAGGAGTGCTTTAATCTGTTTTGAATAAACAAGCCTTTATTAATGCCTCAGGCTTGTTTGCAAGTAGTAATGCAGTTTTAAGCACTTATAGTAAACACTGGAAAACTGATTGTTGTTTGTTGAGAGTGGAATTAGTATAAAATCCACCGGGTACAAAAATGCAGTAGAGTAAGTGTTTTGCTATGATTTTGTGACTAGTAGAGGATTGTTCCAAATTACCACACTAAACTTTGCTATGAAAGTTGCAGGCTGCATGTATGTGTGTTTAGTTTTCATAGAACTACTGAGTAGAAGAGAAGGGAAAATGACACTGGTTTTGTTGTGTGGGAAAGTGCCAGTTCTATGTGCCAGTATTGTTTTACTCAAATATTTTTGAGCTTATAAAAATAACACACATGATGTGCAGTCTGTATTTTTTTCCCCTTGCCAACCACCTTGAATTTTTATCTTGTATTAATTTTGAAAACTTGTCTTGGTTTAATGGAAATAAATGTTATTGATTTAAGAAGCGTGTGAGTTTTTTATAGATACTTCTAAGAACTAAGTAAGTGTGTAAATGTTGTTTGATGGTCTCAATCATGCATGTGTATTTGTGATTAAATTGCAGCATCGTGGTACAGGCTTTTTATATGTCAAGAGCAGGATATGGTTGAATGCAGAGCTACTCCAAATCTACGAGAACTTAAAAGAACTTTTATCTGCATTGACTTTTGAAGCTGGATTAAAAGTTCATGAGTGAGCTGCCCTACAAATGACCCAAGTATGCAAAATGTCAAACTGAACTATGTTAAAAACATGTTTAACTTTGCCTTGCATTGCCACAGTGCTGATCATACCGTTTAAACAGTCTGTTAAATCTATGAATGGGATTAGTTTCCATGGTTCTGTTTCTAGAAATTACTGTATAGATGTATATAGATGTCCTGTATATGTGCAGTTGGTATACTGGGAAGGCCACAGTGTATGTCCTGCTGTCACATGTGTGTTTGAACTCCCTTGCTGCCCTGTAGAGCTGTGCCTATTTGCTTGATGTCCAGAAATCTTGGAGAAAGGGCCAGAATTCTAAATTCGGCCACAGTAATGGCTCCCAGATAAAAAGATGATGTGTAAGGAGAAATGTGGACATGTGGTTGCCCCAGTCTGTAAACATAGTTCTATGTTTTGGTATACCTGGGCATATTTGAAGGGACTGAGAGGATGCTTCTCTTTGCCAGAAGGGAATTGATTTTTTTTAAAAAAACAAACAAACATTGCTTCCTGTTCTTGTTGAGTGTATGGACATACTGTATTGTGTTGGGAAGCTGCTCCTGTGCATCAGATGCTTGCTTGAGCAATTTTGTGAAGTTTCCTGCTTTGATTTAGGCACCTCCCTCTTGACTCTAAGCAAATGTAAAACCTTAAGTTCTTATTGACGTTGAAGAAAGCAGTATACGTAGACTGAAGTATGCATATACCGAAGACATTCCTCCTGCAGCTGTTCTTCGTGAAATTTGATCTGTATGAACTGTACCACTATGTTCTGAGTTTTTTCTCTATTTCTTAATAATTAGGAAGTAAAGGTGACTGCACTCATGTTAAATTTATCTGCAGGAATAGATTTACTGTTGAATCCTCTATTTGCTGTATCTATATATAAAACCAGCCAAAAGCTTTTCCAGGCTTGAGACCAAGTGACACCGCAGAATGGCTGTGTCCCTGAGGTTAATGTCTCGTCCTGTCTACGCCTCGTGATGGTGGAGGTTGATGAAACCATCAGCCAGCCTGAAAGCTACAGCAGTTGACACAAGGTTGCGCAGCACTGCATGAGCTCCTCTGCTTTGGGAATCATAAGGGCTTTCAATACTAATTTGATAGGTGCTGCTGCTCTTGAAAGTGGGCAGCAGCCTCTGTTTGGGGAGGATTGTGCACTCCCACGCACCCTTAGTAGATGCCTGTTGCTTGTCAGTCTGGTGTGGGAGAAGTGTGTGTCCTGCTGTTTCCCATTGTGTCCTGCGTGCTCAGTGAGCAACACTGTTCTCGGTGATGTAGCTGGGTGGTGGGCTGATATATTCTGGTTAATAGTCTGTTCAGCGTCAGCTGAAGAAATTACTGTTTCTACCACCCCACTTTTGCTGGGTTGTACTCCTGCCTGTTCTATAGCTTGGTGTTATGAATCATCTCACCTTAAATGCATATCTCCATCTTCATCTTTCCCTGTAGAAAGTGTAGAAAACAAATGAACTTTATCTGAACTCTGTTCCGGGCCTAATTCCATGATGGGACATACGTGGCAATGGCTGAGTCTGTCATGATGCTTCTCTTTGGGCTTGGAGTGCTGATCTCTGAGAACAACCGAGCAGGAAGGAAGAATCCCGCGTGGCAGCCTTGGACTAGGGCCCTCCCAGCTAAACAGCTCTTGCAGCTTATAGGGTGGATAACAGTGTTGTGCTGCATCCAAGAAACAGTTTTCATTCTATACCGGCCTGTAGGTGACCTTTAAGTTACTTTTGGTTTTGCACTGGGTTTGTGTACGCTAATAGCTGATCTTCAGCTTCAAGGCTGCCTCCCCACAGATAACAAGGTAGATCTTTCTGGTTTTGTCCTCTGTGGCCTCATGCTACTTCTCATCACTGAGCTTCCAGCTCTCTGGGATGCCTCTCTTGCTAACTGAGGTCCCAGAAAATGTTGCTTTGCCTTCGCAGTGATTTAGAATATCCAAAAGTAGATCTTCATTAGTGGATTAAGATTCCATCATGTAAATATTTCCAGTGGTCAAGAGGACTGGTTGCTAGAAGAACTTTTTGGTACAAACAGTGGCTTGCATAGCCTCTGGCCTGGCTATGATAGCACAAAGGTATGTGATGCTGTTCAGTCAACAACATCAGGAAACTTCTCTTTTTCTTCTTTCCAGGAGGTATTTTGTGCACAGATCTGTCTTCTGTATTTTGCCATACAACCTTGCTAAGGCCTGGTCATCACGGACACAGGGAACAATCAGGCAGGGGACGAAAAATAACTGCTCTAGTCATAATGCCACTGAATGCATAATCATGGCTGGAAGTGGCCTTTGTTCAAAAGACATGATGTCCATGATTGACCTTTTCTTAATTTTTTTTAATCACTTCTGCTTGAATTGCTACCATGTTTCCATTTCAATTACTTAAGGCTAGGAAAGCACAATGATAATTTTATCTTTAGTTGTTATATGCAATTTTATTATGTTTTGTATTTTCATTCAAGTTACAGTAATTACTTTAGTATCCGTGGTGACAAAACGTGCTAGCACAAACATGAAAAGACCTTGGTCCAGCAGCAGTTTCCTGACTGCGTAATCAGTTGGTCCTTTGAATTAAAGGTATATTTACCTCTAAATGATTGAAACAAGCTGTGTGATTAGCTGTATCATTTGTAGTCTTTGAAAGCTCTCTGCAAACTTTTAGTGTCTTTTTTTTTTCCTTTGCAGGAAAATTCATTGAAGTCATTCATTCAGTGTATACTGTCTGTAAAATACTAGGCGTGCTTCAGAGGTGTC